TAATTACGCTGACAAAAAAATAAAAGCGATCTTGTGTAGTGGAATTGAACCACACATTGAGTATCTGTTAAGGGGAATGTTTTTTGTTACTGTCAAACGATTCCACAGCTCAACACTAAGCATAAAACAGTAACTGAATAGAGGGATGTAGAAGACTCAAGACAGTGAAGCCTAAAGCTTCCTTTCCATCCGCTCCACAATTGGAGACGGCCTTAACTGGAATATCCGAAATGAAGGAGGGCAGTACCGATTAGGAGGAGGAAACCATTAAGTAAGCCGAAGATGCTCGACTCACCTCTGCTCATAGTCGTGGTATCGTCATCATCTGCGCCGGTAGCCGACAGCAAAACCGCGTCCTCTTCCTGTTCATCTGGCTCTGGTCCCTTCTCTTGAATTTGTGGGATCGGTGTCGTCTGCTTTGCAGGACTTGACTTGAGTTGACTTGCTTTTACTTGAGGCTGCGCACACATTTTTTGCTCACAGAGAGGAAAACCGGCGTTGCATTCAGTACAGGGTGGTCCAATCTTATAGGGCTTTTTGTCATCTATCCGGCCTCTATAACATATACGCAAAGATTAAGGCGAGGAGGAAGCATGTTATTTGATTTAGTTTCATAAATGCATAGTCATGACAACGAAGGGCTGTAAATGACTTCGGAAGCTAGGCCCTCATACGTAGCAGCCCCTGGCTATCACGCCGATGTTGAACATTCGTGCATAGGCACCAATGAGTCATTGAAAGGAATGCCTAAACTAAAGTATGATCATTTTGGTGGCCGCTTTTTAAAGTCCATGGTTAGAAATGCTTTAACTTCAGGTAGGAATAAATCGTAGGGCCATCCCTTGGCAATTAATTAAAAATGTAAGTGAACAGTTTGCGAAAGGTGCAAAAAGACCAAAAGAAACTTTAAATGTTTAACAAAGGAAGGCTATAGGCCAAGAACACTATTAGAGAAACTCCTATTACAATTAGCCGGCTTTACGATTAATTCCTACTCAACGTCATATACCGCACTAAAAGCAGTTTGGGTTCTTCAGGTATGAGCTCATGTTAGGCGGGTGTCAGATAGCCAAAGAATGTAAAGAGGTGCTAGAGGAGTTAAGGCTATGAAGGGTAACCTTAATGCCTACGGCCTTCCAGGCCCAGTTCCTTAGGAGAAGAGAGAAGTCTTGGGAAGGCCAGAGTGTTAGGAA